TGAATGTGCTCAGTCGTCTAGATCATGACTGGAATGCTTATAGGATGACAATACAAGATGTTCATTGAAAATAGAAAAATTTTAGCGTTGTTCGCGTGAAATGGAACTAAATCGTATGATCGTAACGGTGCCAAATACGACCGATTCGACGTCACCACTGCCAGCGTTAAGGCAACGAACGGTCATTGATCAGTCCCAATCGGCATCAGTTTACGTGTCGTCGCAATCACTCAAAATGCCACCCAAAAATCAAATACGTCCACTATTTCCGAAGAAAGCATCACCTGGTTTACACCACTGTCTTGTTGAACCGGTACCGTTGCTGTCCATCGACTTGAGTGATCAACAACGAAAGAAAAAAATGGAAGCCAATTTGAGAGCGTTCGAAAGCATTGAAACACGAGAATTATTAATCGATTATTGTGAGTTTCATTAAATTTCAATTTGTTTTCTTCTTGTTTGCATATATATAATTATCTAAATGTTAGATTCAGCCATTTGATTGTGGTTTTGCTTACGCATTGCTTCAAGAGTATTGTCAATTGATTGTTGCGTTACGAAGAGCGAACGCGATTCATTTCTTCTTGTTCGCGATTCCATTGAACATCTTCAATTCAATATCTCCGTTTTTCCATACCATTTCGGAAAAGCCAATGATATGCGTAGCAATGTGCAGAGGTATATTCATTTTAGTATGGAAACAAGGTGGTGAAATGATTCCAACAGACGATATTCCGGAACGTTTCAATAGTGATGCGGCTAAACTGAATGGACTGCTTGGACTTTCAACGGTTTTTATTTGTTTATTTACTCAGTAAATAAAATTCATTGCGAGTTTACGCCTCTCTGTAATTACATTCGTCCTTCGCTGACCTTCTCCTTCGTGCACAACAGACGATATCAGTGCGTGGAATCACCCGTATCCATTGAAAAAAAAAATTGATGTGGCGTTGATAGATGTGTATGATGACCCAACGCTCCACTGTATCACCCAATAGTTTCTGGGGAAAGGGACTTGAAATACGCCCAAAAACACACCCTAACTGATCGAGAAAAACACACGTTCAATGATAGGTTAAAGCAACGTTCAGCTGTTGAAATAACCTATAGCAGTAAATCGGTAATCTTTCTGAATTGATGATCAGAAACGGTGTAGTATTGAGGTAATACAGTGATGAACGGTTAGTGTAATTTGCTAGGCTCAGAACTTTCAGACTAGACATACGAAGTACTTACTCTCTTATTGTTAGTTGAGAAATCTTTCTAAATCGCTAGACATGTTTTTAAAAAAATCGAAAAAGAGAAATTTATGACTGATATTTGTTTAAAATTCGATGAAACAGGTTTACAAGCAATA